TCTACGACGATGAAGGAAAAAGAACAAAATTTTAGATTCTCCCAACGAAAATATCGTTCAATTTAGCTTTCTCTTACCACTTCAGTAGTGTCTTGCGAAACTAGCAGTAACCAATGTTTTTAATAATTAGTGGGACAAACGAGAGTAAAATGGGTTTCCGGTTTGAGTAATAAATTTCTATTCTGTTTTCCACGCTGAGAAAAGTATATCCCACTTTGTTTTCCACTTTACATTTGAGAATTTCCACTTTGCCTTTTTTTCATATTCTCTGTCTCAGAAAAGCAACCCATCGATAACTGTTTGTTGAACAAATGTGAGCGAGAGAACTAGTATAATTTCTCTTTAATCCTCTAATTTTTATCACGATCCAACATCGCTAGTGTATGACGATTAACATCAACAGGATATTAGGAAGAAAAAACTCTCTTCTAGCCGCTATTGTACAAAAATTTCAGCTGTTCCCATTTTGTCCACTTTACGTTTCGTATCAACGTGAAAAAAGCCACTTTGATGTTAATAGCAAAGTGAAAAGTTTCATTCTGGAAAAAATTCCTATTAAAAACACCGGCAGCAACTAACTTCCAATTGTCTTTCCCCTCTTTGTGAAAAATTATTATTTTGACTGACAACAATATAAAATAGTATGTTGGACTGTGTTTAGATGGCAGCAATTGTAAACAAAATTACAACAACAGCACCTCAAATTGCTTCAGGTAGGTTAATTTTTTTAGCATATATCGATGGAATATGGAATGGTTCTAACTATTTTTTAGGGGTTGCACGCTTTGCCCAGCCCAAATTGAAAAGGTTTTGGTATTTTGCTCGCGTTGAATTACGTCCACCAATGCCAGGGGAGTTTGGAGCTGTACAACAGGGTTTTCAAAATCTTGTTAAATCAGCCACAACACAAGGTTGGAGAAATCTTACAGTTAAAGTAAATATGGAACAATATCAGTTATCATCTATATTGTTGTGTTATTTTTTTGTATGATTGTTTTAGCAACTGGGATTGAATACATTAGTGGGTATTGAAGTAATTTGTTGGTTTTATATTGGGGAATGTATTGGAAAAGGAAGTATCGTAGGATATAGACCGGGTGAGCGATTTTCTTCTATATAAAGGTAGATTCATAGTAATAGATTCATTTTGTTTTTTCAATGTAGGTAGAGCTCCATTACCAGCACCTTATAAATATTTCATGTGATTCGATCAAGCAAATAGTAATCGCTGTAGAAATGTTTGTTTTTTATTTTCACAGTGCAAAGTACTTTTGTTTAAGCTAACTTGTTCCATCATCCCCATTCGAACAGACAGCTCGTTTTTAGAATTTGTTTATCAGTAACACCCCGAAGATTTGTTTGTTCAAATGTTCCTTTTTTTTCTAGAAACCTTATTTTTTGTCGTAGTTTATCACTTTATTTTGCAAATTGTAATAAAAATTTCGAAACCACAACTTTTTCAATCGTTTTATTCAGCTTTTTCAGACTGAAACTATCCATATATTCTGTGATTTTCAGCGGAGTCAGTTTCCACTAAAATTTGGGCGAACAACGGTATAGTAACAATACATCATAACAGCAGAACTCCATCAGATGCAATCGTACAATAAACCAACAGTTCAAACTGTTACTAATTCTCAATTCCATTCGTACTCATTATAGTATGCTAACTACTTTCTGTTTCATCTAAACAACTACCAATGTATGAAGGGTTTGATTCTCGTGCATTCATCGTTGGTTGAAACTATCTTTATTTTCAAAAAAAAAAAATATAGGCTCGAATTTATGAAACTTTTACCTCTGTAGATATGATATGGCTGAATTAAACGAAACCTTTTTAGTTCATTCATTAAGAGCAAATATATCCGACGGAATCGATGATCATCTTGAAAGAGTCGAAAAATCAATAAAAGATATACAATCAAAAACAATAGTTGAAGCAAATTCTACAGAACGTCAACATCGTCTACAAACTCCACTTGATTTAGCAGGAGTTTTGCGAAAATCAGATGAAGAAATTGTGGTACGCGCAGTTATTCTCTGTAATTGAACTAAGAAAATGTGTTTTTATGTTCTATTTATTTTAGTTTCCAAATGTAATTGACTTAAATGTTGGAGGTTATCATTACACAACGAGTCTCTCTACGCTGAGAAAATACGAAGATTCAATGTTGGCTGTGATGTTTAGTGGACGTTATCAATTGGTTAGAGATGAAGAGGGACATATTTTTATTGACAGAGATGGAAAATATTTTGGGTAATAATTTAAATTATTTTTCTTTTTTATTTAACTTTACTATTGTTAAAAGTATTCCTGTAGTTGGTTGTCTAATTCTTTGAATTTTCATTTAATTTCTAGTCATATATTAAATTATATACGTGGTGATACCATACCACCCGAATTACTTTCATTAGATGTTTTACGTGAAGCAGAATTTTTTTGTATCGGTTCTTTAATGACAAAATTAGAAACATCAAGTCCATGTGTAATTTCACTGAGACGTCGTGAATATTTTCGTCGATTAATACCAGATTATGAACATATGAAAATGGATATAATTAATAAATGTGTTGAAAAAAGAAGTTCATTTCATGAATCAAAAGTAGTTATAAGTCAATTAGATCATACAAAATTAAAAGGTTTCAAAATATATTATATCTATTAATATTTATTTTATTTGTTTTATTATCTTAAAATAGGTACAATACCATGTTACAATTGTAGTCGAGAATTTGTCACTGTTAATCATGCATGCGCTTTTGATGGACTTACAGCTGATCTACAAATACAACAACAATTAAAACCAATACAAAATGATATTCATATTGATATGGACAAATTAATAGCGTATATATTCTTCAATTTATAATTGTTTTAATGTTCATTTTTTAAATTGCTCATTTATTTTAGTTTTGTTGTTGATGAATTATGTCATGATGGATTTAAAGCAACATGTGAACGAGTTATTTGTCGTTTTAGTGTACGATGTCAGAGTTGTACATTAAGTGGATTATACACTGCTGGTGGAATCTTGGCACCAAGAGAATGTCAAAATGTGGCACATGTTATCAAGTTTATATGGTCATAAATAAATAAATATACAATTTTGTTCAACTATCTTTCATTAATAACAGATAGTAAATAATTGTTGTAGTAAATACGTTCGTCGCTATAATTTATTTGTTTCTTTCTTTCTTCGCATGTTTTACGTGTGTTGTCTTTAAAAAATGCCGTTTTTAGTATTTCTGATCTTGTATGGTTAATCAAATATATATTTAAACGAAAAATTGATCACGATTAAAACTTTTGTCATTAGATTTTTATGTTAATTCCTTTGCCAATTAGTTTTTGAGCTGAGCCGATATGACCTGATAATCTTAACATTACAGAAACCACTTGGATTCATCTTTCGATAGAAGTTTCTTAAAAGTTCTAGAACCTGTTTAAATTTTGAGCTTATTTCAGTCTTGTCAAATTCTAGTCAAACAGATCTAATCTAAGTCGTTAATTTTACAGTATTTTCAAATAGTTTTTTCTTTTTATTATTATTACCAAGTTATTGTGTATTAATAGTTTGTTTGTTATTAGCAATTCTTGTTTTTTTTAATATTGTCATTTTTCTTTTTATCTCTCTTTCTCTTTTATTGAGATTGATTAAAAATATTTCTTAACATAAATAGACAAAGAACAATGTAAGATATTACTTTCTATCTAGAACTTCATGTATAAAAAAATGTCATTTCTTTTTGGTCTATCTGTAAAAGTTTCTTTTTCTGATGATAGAATCATCACATTGGTTACCAGATCGGAGCCTCTTTGAGAGCGACAGATTTTATTTGTTTTATGCAAAACAAAAAAATCTTTTACGATGTTTTTTGTAATTGTTAAAATGATCTCATTTTAATTGATTTGTTGAGCAATTTGTTTAATTGTATATTCTTCTTGCTGTTGTTGGTCTTTCTTTAACGAATTTTGTTGTTTATTTTGTCAGTTAATTTTACTTTTACTCATACAAGAATAATAATGCAAAGTATCGGATCGAAATATTTATCTAATACATCATTAAACAAAATATTTTTATAGTAGTAAAATTTAATAAAATTGGATTGTAAGAAGAAAAGTTTTTTTTGAACTCTCTTGCAAATAAATTTCTCTATAAAGAAAACCTTATAATCATTTTTTTTTTGGTTTTTCTTTTCAGATGGTGGAAACAAAATGTACACTAGATAAAGAAAATACATCGTTTTCGTCTAATGTGGATTTATTCATAAGTTCACTGAAAAATGATGTTCCAAATATACATTTTCAATGTTTTGATTTTTCAAATGTCCATGATAGCAGAACGTTATTAAAACAAATTGATATTGATAAAAACCAATTTTCATTTGTTAATTTAGAAATGGTATGAATATCGGTATGTTTTTTGTTTTCCGGTTTGGTTTTTATCTGAATATTTGGAAAGAATTTTAAAGACTTTGCTGCTATTGTAGAATTTAGATTGATTTTAAAATTAGTACGTATACCTATGTATTTTATCTTGTAGATTGCCGATGTATTTCAATTGTTTGTTGCTGTTCATCGTGCTGTCCAAGTGACTAATAAAAAAAATCTTGATTTCTCCGTTAATGTTCTGTATCAATTGTCCAATTCGAAATCGGTATGACAAATATATTTTAAAAGAACAATTATACGTTTTCTATTCATTTTTTCTTAGCTCAATGATGCCTTACATTGGTTCGGTGGTTTTGGAAAACCGTATGTTCTTATTGTATCAATTGCTGATAAACATACTAGTGAATTGTTTTTCCAAAAAATGTTGACCGTAGAGGGTATCAGATCGATGACGAAAGAACAAATGCAACAACACATGTATAATCAAGAGAAAATTAGTGAAGTGAGTTTTGTTAGATTTTCTTCGTTGAATCAAGTAGTGTCACATAGAAGTTTTCTGATCAGTTTTTCTCCTCTAATAACAGATGGGAACTTGTGATCCGATCTGACTCTACCGTACGTTTGGATCGAGATTCATGTTACAATAGGCTTGTAGAGAAAATAAGACAAATATTTATTTACTGTTGTTTTATTTTTTTTTAGCACTATTTCTTATCTTCAAATATGAATGATGATGACTGGTCACAAGTGGTTGCAGATATCGTTGGAAAAATAGCTTGTAAAAACATTTGAAAATTGAACATTCTGTCAATCTTTTTTGTTCCTCCTATTTTATATCAAATAAAATTAATGTAACTGTTTAAGTAGCCCGCTTCAGAAGGACTGCAAAAAAATGAATAGCGGGTTAATTGTCCGAAATATTTATGATCAGCATCTTTTTGAACTTCGCTTTAGCAATTTCTTTTCGTATTTTGATTGGAATATTTATCGAAGATTTTATAGTATCTAGTATCATCGTACTATAACATCTTGCAAACTGTCAAAATTCAATATTTCGATGTGAAATGTGACAGTAAGGCGTAAGCTGGATAGACAATTATCCTAGTTAACTTGAGTTTCGTAGCACTGCATACTTCGCGATATAAACGATCTTCCAAAATGAGTTTTAGTGCTTAATGATGTCGCATGCATACATTTTTTATTGCTCTGATCATCCGATAGTTTAACGTTCGAAAGACGTTATGACCACGTCTATGTGCAGCGTAATACTAGAAGTAAATCATATTGAAGTCTTTTGAAAGAGTTCGTGATAAAAAAATTACAGAACTATCCGTCTAATGAATGACTGTGGCAATTTTTTGAATAAGTTTCGATAAAAGCTAGCTATGGAGTTCGGGTTTTCGAACGAGAAGACTTGACTGTATCTTTTTCTAACTGAAAAAGATTTAAAAAAAGTTAATTTGTTTAGAAAAGCTGGCTGTCATTTTTATTTTCGCATACGAGAGATCTCAAAATTTTACTTAAAAAGAAGCTTAAAAATCTCAAATCAATCTCTGGCAGGGTTGATCAAGAAATTTTTTGTTGCCCTGTTGCAGGGCAGGACAACAAAAATATATCGCCCTTCCCGGCAGAACAGGGCAGCCTTGTCCTACGACGGCTTCTGGACTGGAAGTCATTGGAAATCACGGAGGATCACCGAGAATCACTGTTCGCCTAACGTTTTTTGAACTCGATGAGCTGTATCGATTGGTGAAATCAGTTTTCCAAAACATTGTTGAGCTCGCGTTTAAAATGCAAAATATTAATTTTGTGAATGAGACGAATGAGCAGTGACGGTCTTATCCGCCGATTACCAAAACGCTCAAGCCAAAAGAACCTCATGGGTCCCTGTTTAGTCTTTTCTTTCCACTAAAATAGACCGACGAAAGTGATACAGAAATTTTTTTGGATATTTCACTCTTGTCAACTCAAATTAAGTACATGATTCCTAAATACATATCTAGCATTCAGATTCCATTGTTTAGTTTCAGTAGTCGTCTTACTAATATCCTTAGTTATGTTAACTGAAAAAAACGGTTTTCCTGATCTTCGTTCAATCCACTGTTTAATAGTGGATTTCTGTTGCGGACTTATTTGTTTGCATCGATTATTGGCTATGGTGTGCACTGTCTCTGGTATTTTTCTTCTACTCCACGGCCATTCTGCGTAAAAGTCCACTTTTACGTAAGTTCATGACGTTTTGTGAGATGGCAGTAGAGTCTCATGCTCTATACCCCGATCGGGATATATATCCCGTTTTGCATCAAAATATATCCCGATCGGGATATAAATTCGATTTTTTTTAAGTAAAGTTCAACAGCGAAAACATGATGATGTTCGCGGAAAGATTTGACCATACCGCCGAAAAGAGCGGAAAAAACTGCATCAGATTCTTTTTTCCGGTCGGCAAGCTTTTTTTAAATAATTCTCGAGGTTCATATTCTATATCCCAATCAGGATATTCTACTTTTTTCACTAGCTATCTTAACACTTTCTCGAAATATCTTGACATTTTCTCCTACTCTGGACATGCACAAAGGCAGGGACATGCAGTGAAATATTCAGGTAAAGTCATCCTCGTCAATCGCTACTGGTCGACTGAGTATCGCATCGCAGTCGATGTTCAAACTCTGGATGAAACTTTGCCTAGAAAAAAAATGTTTGTCTTTTTGGACATAAAGTACATTTTAAATATTTCCAATGCCGAACAAACATGAGCATCATCTTAGCGTTGCAGTGAGATTCACTTTACGTGAGAAAATGTATATTTCAAGTCCCGTGTGTTTTGTTTTGTAAGTCTGGCTTTCTGGCTGAAGTATCACGAAGTTTTCGTAACCACAGAGTCTGTTAGAAAACGTTTTAGTTGTCTGAACATGGACTCCGGCATAAACTTTGCAATATCTTCCGTCCCAGACCAGATGACTCAGAAACTTTGAAAACAACTGTGCAACTAACCGCCGGTTAAAACCACCATATATGAAGAGTCCGGACGGCTTCCATTCTTTATAAGAACTTTTTGAGTTATCTATGAACGTAAAAAGCAAATGTGCTGCTATTGCAAAGTTTGAAAATCTAAACGAGATTTCCGAATTTGTTTTCAGAAAAAGTTTTCGAAGTAAGTTTCTTATAGAAAGATGCTTCAGAATGAAGAAAAACAAAACTCTATCTTTCTTTGTCGAGTTATTACGACAACAGTGACTGGTACTGTATTTTAAAAATGATAGTAATTTATGAATAAAATTTATTGCCATTAGCTTGAGTTAGAAAAAATTTTGATTTGCTAAAGAAGCGTATTATAGCTAACTTCAAACTAAAAAGTAACAAAAAGATCTTATTATTTAAGACTTAACTACCGATTTGACTGAATCAACAGTCCTAGAAGTGGATTAATGATCTTGTAACAGGAATAATAAAAAACAATACTATAATTTTTGCTAGTAACCTACGTTCTCTGAGATTTTTTGACGAAGTATTCTATAGTAAAGGCAAAACGAAAACAGTTTAAATATAATTGTCGCTGTATATCTCTATATATTTTCTCTTTTATATGCAAGATATTTAGATTGACAATTATTAAGTTGATATCATCGAATAAATGTGTGCATTTGAAAGGTAGGCGTAGGTTACATAAATTGTATGAATGTCCACGTTTTTTTCGGTACATAGTGATGAATACAAAGAACGATTACTAAGCTGATCTGCTTATTCACCCTATCGGTATACGAATATAAAAATGAGCTGTTTTACCTTTTAAGAAAGGTATTGTCCATTAAATTACCTCTGTTATTCACATACAAATGCACTAATTTCTCTCTCATTCTATCTTTTCTTTTTCTTTTATTGAACTCATTTTTCTGTCAGTTTAGACTATTTAATTGTTCCTAATGACACTGTCTGTTTTACCCATATCGTTATCAATAACCGAAAAAGATACACTCGATGATGTCGTAGACGAATTAAAAATTATTGAATGGGAAACAGGCGAATATTTTTTTCATAATTTTATTGACTACTTTCCACTTTCACAAGTTGTCAAAGTTGAAAAACAATGGGACGTAGATCTAAACAAAGAACAATATCTTTATTTACATTCGTTGTACGATCGACATATTCTCGTAGCAAAACCAATAGAAAACAATATATCCAATGACATATACCTGTTCTCAGATTGGTTTCTTGGAGAATGTAGAGTATTAACATCGTCGCCAAAATTAAAACAACGTCAATGGGAATTTGAAGATGCTTTCGAATTATATCGATTTACTTTACCCAGAGTAATCAAAATATCAACTGATATCACTGTTCATCTACATCAAAAAACCAATTCACATCAATGGGAAAAAGTTATTTTACGTAAAGATGCTGAATTAACGGTTATTCAACGGGAAAAATCTCAAGGTATTATTAAAAATACCAAAGATGAAGTAATCGTCAATGAAAACGAAGATGTTTTCATGTTAGTTGATCAAAATTCGAATGAATTTATTCTCTCTCCATCAATACCGTTGCATTTTACAACGAAAATAAAAGAAGATGAATTCGATCAAACGTATCATAATCATAATCAGTTATTTACAATCTCAGAAATAATGATGAGATATGAACTGCCATTGGATATTGAAGTTACATCACAAATACCGACAGCAATTAAAAACTTTCAAACACATCTAAGATTAGAAAAATTTTGTGTAGCCAAATCAGTAATTGCATTCACGTTTGCTGAGAATCAAGGTGTGAATATCGTTGAACTATCACCATTGACACAATTTACACTTCATTGCGTGAAGTGAGTATGAGATGAATCTAGAATTTATATCTAAGAGTTGTTTTTTTCAGATCTTTGACACGTGGATTGCCACGTGATGGTCAGTACGTTGAACAAGACGACCAAAAAATTAATGATAGTGAATATGAACGTGTTCGGAGCGGACTTGACATACTATTTGAGGAGTATGCTACATCATACTGCCGAATGCCAGTTGTCGGAGCACCCGATGAGGTAACAGAGAATGATTCTTTAAGGATTCATTATTTGATATTTATGATCGATTTAGATTATGTGCGTTGAAAGTGCATATGAGGTCAGTGTGGAACTGAAAGAGAACGAACCACCACTCACTAAAACGTATCTGACAGAAGAGGAGGCTCTTAATTTCAAAGAACCAGAACAAGAATTACCAGTTTTAAAATCGCATCCGAAACGATTCACGGTACATGCGTCAGCTGATCCTAGTAAGTATTGAAAATTGAAATTATTATTGTGTCTATGCAACACCTGTCTGTGTTCTTAGGTAACCCGTATAGTAATCTGATCGAATACGAAGAGGCGATGGAAACTGATGAGCTTGTAAAAACACAAGAGACTGGTGGAGAAAATCAAAAAGAAAAAGATTATACAATGAAACCTACAAAAAAGTAGAACGGAACTGATGAGCATCAGGTGTTATTTGGGATTATGTTCACAATATGTTGAACTGATGAGATGATATTTACACGATCAACAGTCAAGAGTTTCGTGTTTTTTTGTGATTGAATCTGTAAGAGATAGAGTATGTGCATTTGTTAGCTAAATAAAACATAAATGAAGAACTAAAGATCGATTTTCTATTTGTTAGATCCATTATTTTTCAATGTAACCAAAGAATAAGTTAAAAAAATACGGCATGTCACCACAACTGCGTACTCTTTACTGCTTCTCTGATACATGATTCCCACTAGCTAATTTTAAACGGAAGACATTGGTGTTTATCCAAAAGTATGCTAAATCAGACAACGAGAAGAAATTCAAACTACTTATTTATTAAAACATTTTCAATGTGAAATTGCGAAGGATAAAAGTTTGCAAACAATATATTTTCTTTATCAATAACACTTGATCAAATGTATAATGGTGCGTGAAATCTTGAAAAAAAGTTTTTGGCCGTAAGCATCCAATACGCACTAGGCAGACATACAAAAAATGGAAGATGATTTTCTCTAACGTATGTCACACTCGAATAAAGGTAAATTATTACAATAAAACGAGAGAACAATGGTTCGTTCTGCCTGATTGCATAAGGTTTTATTCTTCATTTTTTCATCTACTACTGTTAGTCTATAGATCGGGATGCTAAAGTGAGCAATTTTTTTCGGATTTCTAACCACAAGGACGAGTAGATGAGTTGCAATTGAAGTGTTCGTACAGGTTGATACTCACGAGAGAAGGTCCCACCTTTTGACAAAGTTATGCACAAATTAAGATTATAAAATACAAGAGAGCAACTGCATTCGGATATAACTTTGTCAAAACAGGTTGAGTAGTCAAAAACATTTATCTACATACTCATCTGGACGAGCTCTATACACTGGACAAATTAAAACGTGATTGGGGAGAAAAAATTATTTAGCGGGAAAACACTTTCTAGAAATTAAGATTTTTAAAGGCTTAACGGCGGTTCTCATTGTTATATTCAGAATTAGCATTGTCAATTACCTATAACCACATAATTTTCATAAAAAAAGGGATTAGACACTTGGGGACCTTCTCTCGTCAGTTTATAGTAATTGTTCACTCTAAAACTAGTAAAAGGATGGCTATTTCGTCGTTTTTTGTACTTTATGACAGTGATAAACTAATTAATATAAACTTACGTTTAGGAATTAACACTTCGATCATTCTTCGAATACATTATCTCTAGATGGCCCTAATATTTACTCCAGCAAAATTGAGCAGTCAAGAAAAAGAGAAATTGGATGATTTAACTGCCCAGTTGAAAAAACTCGAATGGGAAAAAGGCGAATATTTCTTTCATAATTTTGTCGATTATTACCAATTACCACAAATTGTTAAAGTCGAACAAAATTGGCAAACAAATCTAGTGAAAGGACAAAGTCTCTATTTACAAGCATTATTCGATCGATACATGTTGATTGCTACACCTCTTAGTAGTAGTAGTAGTAGTAGTAGTAAGAGTTCATCAAAACCAAAAAATAAATACTTAATTCCTGATTGGTTTCAAGGCGAATGTAAAATATTATCAAAAAATCCGGTATTAAAAAAACGTTGGTGGGTATTTCAGGGTGCTTTTGAATTATATCGTTTTGATTTACCACGCGATATTAAAGTACTCGCCGATACCCCGGCACATGTGAGACCACATGGAAAATCATCAACAACTCATGAATGGGATAAAATTGTATTACGAAAAAATGCTCGTTTAAGCGTTGTTCGACGAGAAAAATATCAATCCAGAGTGAAAAATGAGAAAGGAGAGGTGATTGCCAGTGAACCAAAAGAAGCATTTGTACTATTGGATAATAAACGAAATGAATTTATTGTACCACCCGGTGTTCCTCTGCGTTTCGCGACGTTAATTGAAGAAAACGAATTACATACTGAATACCGAAGTCATGATGGTTCATTCACATTTCCCGAAATAATGATGCGCTATGAATTTCCGTTGGATATAGAAATTGTGTCTCATCTACCTGTTGATTTACCACATTTTAAATCACAATTAAGATTAGAAAAATTTTGTGTGGCCAAATCGGTTATTGCTTATTTGTTTGGTGGTGATACTCAAGCAGCGCAAATAATGGAATTATCACCACTGACACAGTTCACTCTTCATTGTGCAAAGTACGTTAACGTCAAATAATCGTAAACTAGTTCAGCGTATTTAGCAAATTTGTCTTTGTAGGTGTTTGACGTACGGTTTACCACGTGAAGATGAGCCGAAGGAAAAAGAAAAGGAAGAAAAGTTTGATGAAAAGGAGTACCAAACCTATGAAAGTATCCGCAGTCAAATGAATTTATTGTTTGATGATGCCGCTGAAATTTTTAAAAGTAAAATACAATTAGGAACAGACGAAGAGGTAAATAATAAACATTAATTTTCTAATGACTTATATAAATAAATACTTTTCATTGAAAGATTGAATGTATCGAAGCGGCTTACGAGATAAGTATGAATTTGAAAGCCGAAGAAGATCGTCCATTGAAAGATTCCTATTCTACAACGGATGAGGCTATAAAAGCAGTCAAAGAATCAAATAAAGATGAAATACCATTTCCAAAATCACATCCAAAAAAGTTTACTGTTCACGCATCGGCTGATCCAAGTAAGTTAACGGAAACAAAGCCTGCCAAAATTGATATTTCGGGTCATATGTCTATTGTATATCTCATACAGGTAATCCATATAATGAAGTAATTGATTACGAAGAAATGGATGCTCTAACTGAACCAATCAACAAACCGCCCGCGAAAAATGAAAGTAAAACAAGTAGTAAAACGTCAGCATCTGCATCTAAAGGCAGCGATACAAAAGCGAGTCACAAGAGTGATAAAGCATCGAGTTCGAAACGTGAAAAGCCGCAACAACCAACAAACCAATCAGGAGCGAGAGCTGCACTTGTCGTACAACAATTACCTCCACCAATGATGCTACCACCGTAGGTCACTTCTCTTCTGCGAATAAATTGAACACATGGAGCTATTTTTGTCATTTCAGGGAAGCATTTGAAAGAACACTTAAAGCAATTCCTGAACTATTATATACGGATTTCATTCCAGCAACAAAGTAAGTTGGTTTGTGTATTATATGCCATTAGCAAACAGATGCTTGATCTTTCTCAGCTATTATTTTACTATATTTTAAACCATATATACCTTTGTTATTCTTTTTAGAAAACCTGAAAAAACTACCAAAACCGAGCAGCCTGCTAAAACCGAAAAGTCGGAGACTGAAAAATCAGAGAAGAAATCACAAAAAAGTGATAAAGAGCATAAAAAGTCATCAAAGAAATAATTGAAAAATGTGTAATAGGTCAGTAACAGCATCAGATGAACACTGATAGAACGAGACTCGTAGTTTATTTGCCTGTTTCATTTTTCTCCTTTATTTTTGGAATAAAGGTGGACTGTAGGTGACAGAAGAAACTTTAAGAGACATCATTTACGGTAGAAAGAGGTGTTAATCGTCGCGGGGGTCGATTTACAAATGGTATTACTGCATCTGTTTGTTCAGTTTTCAAAAATTGTTGTTGTGGTTGTTTTATAATTTTTCGATCCAATTGTTCGCTTTTTTGGGTAGTCGGACAAATTTCGTATCGGCGAGGTTCTAAACGTACTTGAACGTTCGAGCTTGAATTTTCATTTGTAACTGTGGTGATCATTAACCCCTGATTATAATTTGATGGTTTATCAATACAAAATAAGTTCGTTAATTCTGGCTCTTGACGGTTTAAAAATATTCGTCCTTGTTTCGCCGCAAAGATACCTTGCTCTTTGATGTCTGTTGCACATATCTGGTATAAAAGTCAAAAGAAAGAAAAACAAGGTTCAGACTGTAATTACCTTCAAATTTGATGATTTACCTGATTTGTTTTCGCATGAAAAGGAAAATTGACATTGACTTTCGATGGACGTACAATGAACTAAAATGTGAACTAACAAATAATTGACAATTTCCAATTTTTCTCGTATACTAACCAAAAAGACGAGATGCGAGAGAAACGTCAGAATAAGTGCACCGGTATTCTCCACCTTTTTACGATGATAATCTTCAATATAAGTATTATTAACAATAGTTATAATTGGTCCCATCAGAAACCTAAATGTTGAACGACATTCTATATAATAAATCAGTCTGTTATGCCATCATTTAATATTACTATAGCAAATATGTGTACCATAATGAATAGAATATTATAAATAGCGTATAGAACAGGCGCTTTTTTGGATAATTCTTGAGTATAAAGAAAATTTCATAACAAAACCAGAGCCATCCTCCTACAACTTTCATGAGATGAATACTATACAGATTAATAGACGAATATAGAGAACTACCAATATGTTTATCATCAAACTAAAAGATCAAATGAAGTAAAACAAAGAGTACAAAAATAAAACATTAAAAAATTAATCTTACCATAATTGGAATGACAAACATTCCCATATAACAATTTGTATAAGCAAGAAAAAACACGAATAACTTCATCATTGATGCATTGCTTAGACGTGCTTGTGTTATTGTATATCTTTTAGCACATAAAATAAGAATTAATAAAAATGTGATTTGAGCAATAGCATCCCATACGCATCCTATAATTAACTATTTCTTCGTAAATTTCATAATACAACAAAAATAGGCACATGTTCAACTTACCAGTAGTTTTAAGATGTTCTCTGTCGATTCCCGTGATAGCCAAATGTAGATAAGCAAAAACGTTAAATAAAACATATAAATATTCAGAGACCACTGATATTATAAATAATTTAAATATAACATGAAACATCGATGATTTACACAAAAAATCTGATATAGAACATACACGAAGAAATAGTGACCAAACTCTAGCATTATACATTAAACTTACAAGCAAATAAAATTATTATGAAAACGAATAGTGTATAGACACAACTTCCAATAATAAATAATTCCAATAAGCCTGTTGATATAAAACATAATATATCATGTGAATTCAAAAGAGACAATAATTTAAAAGTTACCAAGTTCCTCAGCAGAAAATTGTTTTGTAAAAAATGTATGACCATTGAAAAATTTAAATGTATATATAGCATATAATCCCTATGAAAACAATTAATTATCAGCCACTAGTCTCTTTGTCTAATAATTATTTTTTAATTCAGTAAAATGTTTAAATTAAGTGAACTCACAGTAATGTTAGTTGTTTGACATCGACCTAATATAAAATACCACCATTGAGATTGATTGAATTGCATCGTTTGTGACCATGAACATGAAAATTGATCACTAATTGATTCACATTTTGTTAGTGCATTACTGGTATTCAATAAATAGATGGATGTACTCTTAAATTGGTTTGTACAATTCTAAATTATCTAGTTTGTGAATATATAGAATGATTTCTGTGAAAAATACCTACTATAGATAAATTTGGATACATTTTCATCCATTGATGTTTAGAATAGAATAAAATGTGTTCAACAGCAAAGATCTAAAATAATGAATAACAGAGGAAAATGTATCTTAATAATTATAATAGTGTACATATCTTTACCTCTGGGTAGGTAATATTGATTTGCATGTAACCATGTTTCGGTGTGAAACAAAACTTTGTCATTAAGTGCCATTCCTATGTAGATATTAGGTTAAAATTACTTTTGTATGAGTTCGTTCAATTTTTCAATAACTGTTGTGAAGAAGTCTTACATGAGGTTTATCGACTATACCGGATATAATTTTTGATAAACTACATCTAATTATTAGCAGTAAAAAGAATAGAAACAAGATCATTTTCTTTTTCTAAATATGCTGAATTAGATACATGATCGGACACGCACGTTAATCGAGCGATGGTACATTTTTTATTTCATTTTATTCATTCAGTACATTGTAGTCATAACAATTCCTCTTCTTTCAAAAATGAAAAAGATATAATAAGAAAAAAGATAAAAGTTCATGTACAATCACATACACTCTGCACCTGTTCTTTTAGAAATTCTAAAGAAAAGCTATAGATAATTGAGTATTATGCCAATAATTTGCCCAGGGATTTATAGAAAGAGAAAACTTACTAAACAATATTAAATAATATAAATCAAATAACGGGATGTCAGAAATAATATATCTCATAATTTTTTTCCCTGAGCAATAATGTGACAAGTGATAGGAATTCGTGATGCATACTGCTTAATAATTAAAGTAGATACCAATATAAAATAGTAAGGTCATTTTGTTGTTTGCCCCCGTTAAGGATGATTACCTTGTTACAGTGGGCATCCAGGCGGGTTTGTGCCAAAAAAACGAAAAATGCGCTTTCCCAAATAAATTAGAGGAGAAAATATTCGGATAGATGGACTGTTTATCTCTATAAAACCTTTTTGCCAGATGTGACAGATCGTAGTAGGAAAACACAAAGTCAAAAATAGTATGAAAATAGAGGGACATGATATAAGACGTTTTTTATACTAAATCCAACAAAGTTATAAATAAAAGCAACACAGGTTCTGAATCTACACTATGGGTCTACGTTCTTGATATTTGGATATGTTGTACAGTTTGATGAGCCACGCCGCAATAGCCATCCTTGATCGGGTCACAAACGTAATAAAAATCATCAAAATGTTTTTTGCATGTATTTTGCTGGGAAATGGAAAAGTATTTTGAAAATGTTGTGTGATTTGCAAAATTTTCTTCCATCTGTTTCAAATTTACTTATTTTCAAAATTTTTCCATTAACTCTAAGAAATAGACAGCGTTATCCCCTGTAGTACGCTGTTTTGCACGTTTTTGTACCAAGAGTTTTACTCCATCATCCTTCGTTATTGTGCAGGACCTTTGACAAGGCCGATCTCTTTATTCGATTGTGGTTCTCGAGTGGCAGACATTCATCCGACGAAATGGTAACTAATTACGGGTGACTCGGGAAACTGCCTGCCATTTGAGAACCACAATCGATAGAGAGGTCGGCCTCGCGCATAATTGTAGAGAATATTTGAGCTATCTAACTGGCCACCGTGTTATAATTAAAAATTCGCCACAGGTTCACAATCAGAGCCCGAAACGAATAGAATATTCAGCATTCGATTCGATTCGGCAAAAAACCGAATCGAATTAGGTTTTCCGGATCCATTCCTATTCCGATTCTTATCTGAGACTTGAGAACTTAGTGTCTTCAAATATTAGCCCAAGAAATTTCACATATGGCGTTCAGAATATAGCCTGACGGAGAGGGTTTATGCATGATAAAAATCAGCTCTTCTGGACGAATCCAAATGGCTTCATCGAGCTTATCTAAAGCAAACTCATTCTGAGATATGCGGTTCTACAAAAGAGAAAGAAAAGCTATTTTCTTGCAAAATGTTTTGCTTTAGTGTCATTTTTTTTTTGCTATAGATACTTGTAAGACATATTTCAAGATAGATCCATTGTGGAAGACATTATTTTTCAAAATGTAGTTGCATTTGAGTCTCGTGAAACTAAAGTAAATAATATCTTACACAGAACACGTTTGGAAAATTAGTCCCTTGTACCTTCGCGGTGCTCATAATTTTCCTTTTTTATATTTATTTAAAATCTTTTAACAAATTCTTATTGAAACTTTAATAAGAATCTTTTAAAAAAAACATGAAGTTTTTAGGACATTCGAAATACGAAAATATACATGCAAAATACGAAGATGGTCATTCTTTAAGGTACACACACTGCTGATCGTAATCTAATGCTAAGAAATTGAAATTCGATAGAAAAATGGGGAAAATAGGAGAATTAGAGCATTTGTATACCCTTGTACATTAGTATCGTCGCCTGATCTATTGTCAATGATGAGATAAAGTAAATGCCAGACTTGCATATGGTCCCATCACTAACATGAAACAAGTGTAATGCAGTCAGAGCCGTTTGTTTAGTGATATTGAATGGATGCAAAGGATCTAAAACAGCATACACTGAAAGATAATTTTAAACGTCACGGATTGACTCTTTACTATAAAATAATGATCAGCAACCTACTCCCAGTACATAAGTGATATTTTATCAAAATCTGATGATATCGATTCATAAGCACTGCGAAGATTAAGAAAATTTATCCGAACAGTACAGCATATGCCAAGTTAAATAAAATTCTTCTACTCACCTTCTTATAGATAATACAATAAATTGCCATTTGAGATGACCTCAAATTTTTGTCGGTAAAAACATATAAACAGAAATTTTTGGCAAAAAATAAACTGCTCTATCCAATTATGGTAAAACGAGTTTGAAACGATGCATTCCGCGTGTTTTTTTTACCACAATGGTTAGCACATTTCGTAGTCCCTCAAAAGCTCTACAAAGTGAACTACTGGTCACTCGATTGCTTGTAGACAACTATAATGAAAAAATTCTATTTCTCCGTCTGAGTCACTTATAGGTACACCTTAGTTTTGACAATAAAAAGTTTATAACTTCTGAAAACGAATTTTGTTTTTTGACCAAAACTTTTTTAGGTTTTGTAGTGGAGAATGTGAGGAGGTTTCTATGCAATTCTGGTCTTCTTTAAAGCTATATTGATGGAGATATATTATTATTATTCATCAGCATATTCGTCAAAAATCATTTTTTCCCTCAGTTTTGTGAAAACATTTAGGGCTTTCCTTAGTGAGAAGGAAAAACAAAGTTTTAAGTTTGTAAGGGGTTTGGGGACCAAATGGCTGTTTTTCCTCTCTCTGTAACTTCCGTCCTTCCCTTTACGAGCGGGCGGACGAACAGTACTAGGTATTCCTGAAAAACATTCGATGCGAATCGAGATTTTTCGTTCCCTATTGGTAAAAGCATATAGTAAAGTTGCAGTTTCCACAAAAAGAATCTGAAATAAAAGATTTTTTATTACATGCGTATCACATAGGTATCTATCGATCAAACAGTTTAATTTTCTCAGAAACCATACAGCACCAAGGCTAACTGCTTGAAATATTCAAAACCGGCACATTATCCATTTAAACTATAGTCTATTACAATATTTATTTTTAAGCACCGTCTTCTTACTTTCACATTATTATTACGTATTTCATCAGTTTTTGTGTTAAAGATAACTATTCATTTGTATAATTATTTTGGACTGCGTAATATAGATCTGATATGCTCTCATCGCGCTATTGTAATTTGGTTTCTTTTTCTTATTGGAACAATAAATAAGCATCGATCAGAGCATAACGATTTTTATTTGTCATACTTTTGAAAGTCATAAAAATAGTAATCAAGTACACATATAAAACTGCAAAAGACGTATTAACAAAGCTTAGGATAACAAAACAAAATTAAAAAGAAATAAACATACATAATTTTCTTTTGTCGTTGAAGAAACAAGCTGTACATTTCTGTCTATACAAGGATATCACAAAGGTAGAAAAACACAAAAGAAACCATGACTGACTATTCTTATACATGTCTCAGGTAATAAGTCTGGGATTCAAACACAATTTCCATCAACACTTTGCATGATTTTCGTCTTCACTTATATTTTCCAAATCCACATAATCTCCATGTTTATATTTATGTCGTAACTAAATAGATGAAAAGTAATAATAATCATAATATAAAGAAAACAATAGAAGTAATAGAAATATCTACCTCATGCATGTAAAGTGCACTGTAATTCATATCCAATTGTGCCGCTCCAGGAATACCTTGTAATGGTGCTAGCTGAGGATTACTAAATAATTGAGGATCGGATAATTCGAACATGGTTGTATGGATTCTAAATGTAAATAATAGCAAAAATATTTTTATGATCTCTACACCATTGTTCATATCTTAACGTTTTTCATTTTCAAAATTATAAAATGTATGCCTTACTTTGACAAAACGCCAAATGGTGCTGTACTTCTGTAGGGTAAATCAGCTTTTGATATAGCACCAGTTAAATAGCTTTGCGATAATTCATTAGATGAAAGCACTGAGACAGCTGTATGATTCACCGAGGTCGGTGATGTGTAGTGATGACTATTAATCAAATGTCCTTTCGGTTGTTGCACTGTTGATGTCACATTATTGAAGAAAGAACGATCATGAGATACTTAAATAAAGAAACAAAATTTTAACCGTCATACTCATTTCGTTCTCTCTCTCTTTCTCTCTCTTCCTGTATCATAAGAGATAAATATCCCGCTTTGTCTATATAGCTTTGATTAGCTCAATATCTTTCCCATAATCGATAATTTTCGAAGGTGTTCCCCCATCCCTTGTTAATTCTTAGACTGCAATTAGAGTTTTATTTCGTACAATTGACTGAGCTTTGCATATGCACTCGCTCATCGCGCACTAGCTTTCTGGCAAACCAAAGAAACTATGTTCAACGTCCCAAATAAGATCCTCTGAAGTGCATGATGAACAGCGTAACAGTCAAGACATGTCCGTCCTATCATACCTTGAGGATCACTGTAATAACTTGTTTGTAAACGATGAATATCATTAATCGATTGTTGAAGTACTGATGATGTTTGAATATTTTCGAGTGCTATAGAAGAAAGGTAAACATCAAAATATTTGAAAAAACTAAAATAATTACCTCTTTCTTGAATTTTTTCCAAATAGTGTTGACATTGTTTCGGCATTTTCCATTCTGGATTTGTATGATGAAAATGCATTAGAGATAATTCAAGTTTACCATCATTTGTAATTGTTGCATCATTCTGAGAGGACGATGGTTTAGCAGGTGAAAACCACTAAAAATAAATAAATAATAATATTTACTAGAAATTGATCTATTTTATTTGATTCTTATTTACTTTTAAATCTCCATGTTTAGCAACATCCAATTGTGCAAAACTACAAACATCTCCAACGCCTTGAACATCTACGGTAAAATTACGTAAAAAATCGATTATTTCCATAGATTTGTGTCGAAATTGAAAACATAATATTAATGGTGTGATAAATGGACTTAATAATTCTTCAAGAAAATTTACCTAAAAAAAAAAGAAAAAAAAAAGTCAATATAACTAGTTTTAAATTTCAATTAAAAATTATTTACATATTTTAGTTGAAACATTTGTGCAAATTCACTTTGCACATAGTCTGTATGAGCATGATTTTTCCATCCATCTGGTTGATAATGAACTTGAGCAAGTACCAATTGCATCATTTGTTCTGGATCAAAAACGGTATGCTATAAACAATATTACTTGCAATATTTATTTAGTAGAAAGAAAAAAAAATGAAACACTATTTATACTTCATCTGGTATAAGGGATCGACAAATTCCTATAACAACGCCCAATGTTGTCATCATTGTTAGCATATGTTCAACATTCAATACATCTTCGTCAAAAACTGTTAATATAATTAATACAGCTAATATGGCTCCTGTTGTAAAACTCACAAATCTAAAATATATAAATTAATAGATTATTTAAGAAAAAATGATTGAATAATTTTATTCATTCTTTACTTTGCAACTTCAATGATACTGTAATTAACAAATGAATTCATATAAAATATTGCCGGTTTATATCCACGATTTAAACGTTGATTCAATGAATGATCTAATTCATTGAAATGTCTTAAATATAGACGACCATAATTACTCCATCGACGACTACCAAGTACACCAGGTTCACGTCGAACAAGCTAAATTATAAATAATAAGTTTATTTCTAAAGTCAAACTGATTCAATTAAAATTACTTACTTCTGTATAACCATAAAATAAATTTAATACTTGCCAAATAAATATAAATGGTGATAAAAGTAAATTGGTAATGCCATACAGTAAAATAAATCTTGATAATCTGAAAATAAATCGATTTTCTACATATAATAATACAAAAATAAACAAACTTACTGTCTTGCTAAAGCATCTCGTTGACTATTGATTTTGTATTCTTGACGTAAATGCCACCGTTGATCAAATGGAGAATATGGTCCCCCTAAACATTATTCATAATTTAATTCATTTAATCAAAATAAAATTGAACAACTTACAAAATAATATTAGTCTTAGATTGAATTTGAACCCATTTGTAAAACATATTCTAAATAAAAATCATATACACAAATTTTATTCATATAGATCACAGTTTTCAATCTTAATTTTTCTTTTCTATCTCACCTACGGATCACATTAGCTAATTCTTCATTTAATCGAACATTTATTCATACAAGAGGAGCAAGAACCGTCATGGTACGGGATAGGACGAAAATTACCTCCCACCAAAGAAAATTTTCATCCGGTTCTTTTTATGAGCATTCGAAAACTTTCATCGCATGAGATTATATTAAATTCATTTTTTTCTAACTAAATACTATTTCTTGTTGAGCAAAGAGTCTCTGCCGCAAACAATCTAGTTTATTTGTTTTTCTAGTAAGTTAAATCTATTACACACAGATATTCATTTAATATTCTACTACCACTAATTGATGTGTACACACAACAATTGACATAATTTTCAATATGCTCGAATTAATTGATATCATTTTTTTTCCGAAGAGTGTCCGAAAATCTTTCAACAACGATAAATGAGTAACGTTAGATGAAACTTGTCCGATACTTCACTTGAACTTCAAAATGCTAACAAAATATTATAAGATGAAATTTCTGTCCCATCCCATGTATAGTCTGAAATTTTTCATCCTATCTCATGGATACTTTGAAAAATTTTGTCTCATTCCATAGGATCTCATAAGATTTTTATTTCATGACGATCTCAGACAGGGAGCAAGTCAGACAAAGCTAATGAATACATACGCATCTCCAATAAATGGAATGTGAATCTTTGGTGGTAACAATCCTTTATTAACCATGGCCACTTCATAATTTTTAAAACGTAATAAACGATTGTGTATATCTAATTCGGTTAAAATTTGTTTATGTACACATAAATCATGTTTTAGTTGTGCTTTTGATAGACGTTGTTGTACTTCATGCCAAGTCATATTAGAAAGATCTTTCTAAATATAAAAATGGAACAGATATATAATGAATAAATTAAAAGCTTAAATAAATATTTATGTACTGGTTTAATATCAAGTGCTTGTGAATAAAACAATCTTATATTATAAAATGATAATAAATTATAAACAGCACGACAAAAACGATAAATCCAATAAATTACAGCTAAGGCAACACACAGCGATATTAATAAATGTTGACTGAAATAAAAATAATTCATTTTTTAATTTCATGTTAGATTATAAAATATCATATACAAAACATACTGTCGAAGACATTGACTAGGAGATAGAATAACATCGTTAAACTGAATTTTTCGTGTCATATTTCGACTGGCTGGCGATGATCGAAACAATACTGGATAATCAATACATTGAAGAACAAGAACAGTAAATGAAACAATAAATATAAATTGTCTAGAAAGACAAAAAAAAAAGAGAATCATCTTCACATTATAATCTCAAATAAGAATCAATGATACATACACAAGTGCAAGAATTTCAGATAAGACAATACAAAAATATCCATGTCGTTGATGATATTGATAAACACGTGAAAAAAAATCATCTAAATCTTGTTGATGACTCCAACGGGATTCTAGAAGAAAAAAAAATAGAGGAATATAGCACTAACTAAATACAAATGTTATACGAACGTTTTTCACTATTTTCCGGATAATCTTGTGATGGATCATGAATGTATGGTGTGAGCGCTTGCTCTTCTGGATCATTTTCAATTTCAACATTCGGTAATGCCTGATATTCCATATTTTTATTAATAATTAGACGACATAAGATTATTGGTTATTTTAGGCAATTAGACACTGTTCTTAGAAACAGAATGAAAAATAAAAATAGAATAAGTTATCTAAAAGTAAAAAATAAATCAAATGAATCAAATCAGTAACAAAGTTAAATCAATTAAAACTCATAATTCTCTACAGAATAATAGAATTTGATTCCATTGATATTTATTATAATAGAAAAAAAATACATTATTCGTATTATTTTAGGTGTGAGTTCTATTTTGCTCGTTTTCACTTGAATCAAAGATTTCTGGGACTAACACCTATCGTCAAACACATTGATGATTATTTTTTGAAAAAATTCTGCTTGACCATCTTGCAATATATTCTCGAATCAAATTTGTCGCCAGCTTTATTCATTTTTTTTACGTACCATCTGTCTATTAAACTGTAAGAATATCATTTGGACGATTAGCGGGCAATTCTAAACAGCGTTCACTCAAAGTCAGGCAAAAAGAGAACAGTAAAGAATACAATAAACTTACGTTTATATTCAACAATTGTTGGAATGTTGCTGCGTTTTTCTAACGATTCCTCATTATTTGCAAAAGATTTTCTTTCTCGTTTTCGAGATGTTGTTAAATGCCACTAAAATAGCGATAAAACGTATCAACTTCACTTTTTCAATAAAGAAAATATTTAGGCTTTAGGGGAAGAAAGAGTCATAGTGTTGGACTGCACGCCGACGTTTGAATGACCAATGTCTGATGCTTTTTAATGAGATGTTTCTTGAAATCAAAAAATTTCATGGGGGAGGGAGAAGAGCACGAGCGTAGTGAAAGTAAGTGAAAAGGGAGCAATTCAAAAGCCTGAAATTCTATCAGATGAAACTTAGTTTAACAAAATTGTAGAATCACAGGAGAATATCTGATATACAAAGTCAATTTTGAACAACTGTAATTATAACTGAAGCAAGCAAATGAGTTCAAAGAAGCTCAAAATTGAAATAGAATGTATGAGAAACGGCCGCATAGGTCATTGCTCAAACGACGGGAGCGCTTCAACGTCAGCAACTACACTGTTGGTTAATTGCGCTCGATATTTCATTTTGATAGATAGAATTTGATCGATATAAAAAAATTGCTCAACACTTACTGTTTGAATGAAATATTTCACTTGTCACGCATTTTCGGTAAAATTAATTGATAATTAATTATTAGAAATGTTAATCTTGCAGCAAATACACCAGGTTCAATTGACATATCACTGGATCCACTAGAGAAGAAGAAAACTTTCCAGTAGCATGTTTTAGTTCATTTTAAGGGTGAAAGTATCGGATAAAATCTGTATGTCAACGTTATACGTGTGATCCATTCAAAAACATATTGTTTTTTACTTATTGCACCGAAGAATATATAATCATTTTAACCAATGTTAACCCATTGAGTTGAAATGATTGAATATATGTCAACTACTTTTAAACTCTTCAGTGACTTATGATTTTAGCAAGAATATCATATAGATGATTAGTAGTCAATTATAAACATCCGTCACTCATAATAAGATAAAGAAGAACAGTAAAGAATACCATAAACCTACGTTAAAAATCAACCTTCACAATGAATATTCCAACGATCATTATTGATTAGATAATAGTCATCTAAAATCCCAATAAGAACTGTGTATGGTAATGATTACAAACTAAGAATTTTAGAATTTCAAATAACTACAAAAGAAAGATGTAAAAATAACAAATTGTTTAATAGAAAAAGAACTATATAGCAAAAATAACAGATCACAAATTATACTAAGTCTTTAATTCTTGTTGTGCAACTGATGATGTTGGTGTTTGTGATTTAACATATGTATCTAAATATTGACTTAATAATCGTGCTGGATGCGTAGCTAACGACAAAATACGACTACCAGGTGCTTGTGCTACAGATAATAGTTCACCTTGAAAATAATCAATTGTCGGTAGTTGAACTAGTTCTTCTAAACCAGCACGATTATATAGTCGTCCATCAACTAAACCTCCTACAAAAGAAACATATTTACTTAAGTAAGGTAAATGAAATATTAATAATACTCACCAAGTAGTAAAATATTTGTTCGATACTTTTTTAATAATTTGAATGTCATTGATAAATTAGCATCACGATGAAATAAATATATGGTATTAAAACCGAATGATAAAATGGGTGGAAGTAAATTTTCATATTGTGGACTATTCGATAAAGCTAAACTAAAAGAATCCAAAAATTAAGACAATTCTTTTGTCAGCTTTTCTAAGATACACTTACTGTGGAACAATACGTGGAAATTGGAAAAATTCAAATCCATTTTTCATAAATTGCATTTTTATATTTGTAAAACGAACTGAAAAAATACAGAAATTGTTTGATGTATTGAACATAGTTGAAAAGATGACATACTTGGTGGAACAATAGATATCTCTTGACATAATAACAAAATACGACTATTTTCAAGCATTTCTTTAAAACGTCTTGCACGAAATTGATCATATTCAGATGCCTAAACGTAAAAAAGTAATAAAATTAATAGGCTCATATAATTCTGTAAGACAACAATAACAAAACTAGCTCTGTTTATTTCTTTTTCACGTACTAATGTGATATCTTCTTGATCATATATTATCTTTTGTTTTAATTTATTACGATAACATGTTTCAACAGGATCTGGAAGTTTTTTTGGAATTATTGGTAACGCAATTTCTTCCATAAAACGTAGTGTATCTGGACGTGTGTGTGGTATTCGCGTATTCATACGATAACGAACAAAAGTTAAACATGGTATTGATTGTTTGATAAGACAAACTTAAAAAAAAATCACGCGCCATTTTATAATCAGAAAATGTGAGTGAAATTACACAGGATACTAACCACGTTGTAATTTGGTAATCATGAATTGTTAATATAGTTTAATGTCAAAATAGAATTCTTTTGAAGTTTAATTGGATTCTTTATGTGCAAAAATTTCAGCTCATAAAGAGTTACAAAGTTTTTAACGATATCACCAGCAAACAAAGTGAACCGTTGTATGACGGTAGTCCACTGACGATTATTCGGTACAAAGCAATGATTTGAGCAAATAAAATGAACCGGTTTGACCGAAATATCTTGATCTTTTCTAAATCAAATTCATAAAATGAACTGAAACTTTTCGATTACTCAGCAGAGGAGTTCTCAAGATTCTGTTAACAATTTAAGGGCTTGGTCCGAAATGTTCGTAACAAATCATTGCGTGCAGTTTAGTGTTTCGGGGCCAGTTTCTTAAAAAAAGTTAAATAAAACTTAAGTAAAAAATTCGTCTTAAGTCAAATCGTTTAGCTTATTGGGGTCAGAAAATTGTTGTAAAATAATCTAAGTTGTCTAATACAAATGGTTCTTATATTATTATTTTGAAGAAACTGGTCCCCTGTTTGGTAAACGAGTGACTCATTACATTACGTTTCCTGATCTAATCAAACACCATGTTACATTCAATACTAATCTTTTCTGAGCGCGTAATAATACGAAAGACAATTCTTATCCAAAGCGACATATTCTATATGTACTTTTTACGTCTATTCTTCATAGGTTCTTAACTCTCGTCGAAACTATGCTCACTTATTTTAAGGTATATATGGTCAAGATAATTTAGAATGACATTGTTATAACATGACAAAACAGTCATTGGAATAAAATCGAATTTTATTACTTTTCTATCGTCATTGTAGCCTTACTTTGACCAGCATATGTGTATTCTGAACGGCTAAGATCGTTTGCTGGATATTGTTCATTAAAGTACAGACAATTTTGCCTTGATACAACGAAACTAATAAAAGTCTCTTCTGAAGATTAGGCTTTCTTTTCTTCCGATTATCACTATAAAATTACGCCCCTTTAGTTGGTCTTTAATACAAAAGTGGAAACTCGTAAAAAATGGTTTTAATCAGGAATTATTTTATCAATATTTTTAAGTTATCTTAAGTTAATGCTAAGTGAAGGCGTCGGAGCGAGTGTTCTGACCAAAGGCTTCATGTTCACACCTAGTACATTTATAAACATTTAACGCACACATGACTTGAAACTATTTATCGTTGAAACGTAATTTGTTTCTATTTTTGACAATGAAGTCTTTTAGAAATGCCTCTCTGATGATCAACATCTAGTGATCTTTTTGCGAAGCAGAGACTGGTTGCAGAAATAGCTAATGAAAAAATAATCAGACCAACGGTTTACAGACCGTAAATAACTAACATAATGAATGAAGGCTGCTGCAAAAACCAAATATGAAGTTCTTTTCTCCATTGCCGTTGTCTGTTAGTTGTCAAAGATAAGGTTGCCTGTTTCACAATAAACTGGTAGAAGGTGGCTAGCTGAGCTTTGAGACGTGAACTGAATCTCACTCGAAGTAACGTCAAATATGTTGATCAAGTGGTAGTTGCGTCAGGAATATTAAGCCTTTAGCTTGATGGTAAAATTGTGCTAATCAATGTTTTTAATGAGAATTTTGCTCAGTGTGTTAGTCCACAGTTTACCTGTTTCTCTCTTTTACACTATTCATCATCCTCACTACTCATCTTTAAGTCTTCATCACTCTAAATACGTTCGCCTTCCACCTTCTGTTGATGGTTTTTCTCCACAAACGGTGTATTCTTCATTGTTTTATTCAACTATTACTGAAAGACAAATAATCTTCCAGAGTCAGTTATTTGTCTTTCTTCTTTTATGTCTTTCAAAACAGCCTTACTTCAGTATCTCTTCCAGTGAAACGCTTGTCAGTTAAGCATTTATGCTTGTTCTTTTTTTGTTTGTTTTATTTTACTACTTCTGGTTCTAATCTTAGTTGTCTTCTTTATTTTGTTATTTTTTTTATTACCATTTTGGTGTTGTTTGGCTTGAGTCATTGTTACTACAGATCGGTGACCTTTGATGACTCTCACTTTTTGTGAATAAACAATCTTAGTCTTAGTCGTAGTCTTACATTTTCCATATTTTCTACTAAAAAAAAGAGTGCCCATTAAGTATTCGAAGTGCCACGGCACGTTATCGCCGCTGCGGGCAAGCATCACTAAAAACACTAGTGAATTTTTCCTCGTATTAAGTCACTCCAGCATTGTTTTCATAGAATCAGATGATGACTGTTCTACGATTGTTATAAAATCAATGCTGCTCTTAATATAAGTTTTTACTCAATAAGATCATTTCAGAACTACCACTCGACCTTTTTGACAAAAGGATTGAGGGGATCATTTCATCAATGTTCTTGAGTAGCTTTTAAACTTAAATAAGGACTTAATTCCGGGCTTAATCTTAGTTAAGAGTTGACTCAATTGTATCTTAACTCCATGGAACGTGATCTTAAGTTAAGCATTAATTTAAAACATCTCTAGGGTTATAAAAATGGCTCACTAAAACAAAATAGACATTAATTTAAGTCTATGCTTGGATTCATCAACTCGAAAATATTGATGAAACGGTTTCCTGATAACTCTGTACGCACGTTATGATTTCACTTATGAGAAACGTTGTAGGTTGCTTTCATTTTCATAGGTATTAATACACATGCTTCCTAAATATTCTAAATCTCATTAAAATCATCCTACTTTTTCCACTTTTTTTTGTTTTTTAACAAAAATTCCGATATGTTGTTATTTTTTAGTTCGTTATTGGCATAATGTTGTTTAATTGATATTCAGAGATTTTTTCTATGTTTTAAACGTTGTATGCTTGTGTGTCTATCTTTAGACGTACAGATCATGATTTTAATGAAGTTGAGATTTCGCAAATATTTTTACAAACAGTAATAAATTGATTTCAATACGTGAGTAGTTGAAAAATAGATAACAAACTTGAAAGAGAAGTAGACAGACCTAAGTTCATTAGAAGTGGTCCTCTATGTTTTGTAAAATAGCATGTAGGTTAACTTTTTTATTTACTGTTAAATGTAAAAACTTTAGTTTAATACAAATTTTAACAAATTGCCACAAATGTTTTCCACTTATGTCTTTTATCTTCTCTCGGATTATTGCTTGATTTTTGTCTTATATAGTAAAAAGTCTATATGCTTCCCATAATATGATGATTATTTAACGCGACTCGAAAATAAGACAAGTTTACGGCGAAACTTATGATCCATAGAACTGAAATTCCTCTTTCCATGTTCTGATACGGTAATAAGTACTAATTATAGTGCAAAATCACCTATTTTGATATTTTATTTGTAAATTGCTTTTATTAATTACACAAGTGACTAACCGCTTGATGTTAAATGCTGAATCTGTTTCCTCCTAGTCTTTGCTAAAGTTTTGGCATATCATGGTAAAAATTAATATTTTTTTCTTCTTCAGAATGTTTTACGGAATGTGATATCATACAGATGATACATAATTGTATTTTTTGTAATTGAGATGTTGATTTATATAAAAGATTTTCGAATAATGATTAAGTGTAACATCTAGAATAAATTTGTATTTTTAATGGAAAAAAAGGTGTTGATTTGGACATTGGTCATGTAAAAGAGAAAAAAAAAGAAGAAACGAACTTTGATTAGAATCGATCAGAAAAGAAGAAAGAATAACGGCTCTATGTATATAATGATTTTCATCATCATTCTCTTTTTCCTTTCATCATATTGTTTATTCCACTCATACAATTTTTTATCAGGCTTCTTTGCTCTACTGCTGCTCCTGATGATGATTCTGTTTCAGACTTAACAGTACTTTACAGATTATCATGCATAGACACATGCAAATGAAGTACATATAATAGATTCTATTCTTCTACTATGATGTATATATATTAAATCTGTTCCTATATATATATTTCTATTCTTTTTTAAAGAAACGATATCTCAACTGTATCTGTTTGAGTTTGACATGAAACTATTAGTACCAAATAGTCATTCTACATATTAAACACAGATCATGCGTTATATATAGATATTCTTCGTTTCCGCTCTTGAATGATCTAACAAAAAAGCAATGAAAGGTGAGTTAGATCAATATAAATACAAAGAAATAAAAGAATGTTGAGTACTGTTAAATAAATAATCTTCTTCTCTAAAATAAAACATCACTTGTTTATCCAAATATCTTGACAACTGTTTCGATTAGGTAATTTGTGGTGAAGTTTAGAGAAAAATTTATAAGAAACATCTTAATCTGTTTTTGAAGTACAAGAACATTTTAGATGTATTTTTACGTAATACAACAGGCTATGCTTTATAAAAAAATATGAAAAATAAATTGGGTAGGGCAATAAATTTTTTTTTTTAAATTCTTCGGCAGATGACAGGGATCAATTTTGAATAGTGTATTTTTATTGTAATTTATTATTTCAGATTTCTTTTTCTGATGAATTCGCACAAAATCTATTCTCTTAAACAAATATAAATAATGGCTAATAAATTAAACTCACATCAAAGTTATCCAATCAAACTTGTTATTGTAGGCGATGGAACAGTAGGGAAAACATGTGCATTAATATCTTATACAACAAATACGTTTCCAGAAGAATATGTTCCAACAGTGTACGTTTAGAAAAAAAGGAAAAGTTTATTATCTACTAAAAATATATATTTTTTGTCTTATTCGATTAGATTTGACAATTATACATCGAATATTCTTGTGGACGGAGTAAAAATTTCGCTTGGTTTATGGGATACAGCTGGTCAAGAAGATTATGATCGTTTAAGACCATTGTCATATCCACAGGTGTACTTTTTATAGATTTTTTTAAATACTCGATTGTTCTTTATTACTATTTTTTTCTGTTTTAGACTGATGTATTCGTGTTATGTTTTAGTGTTGTTAGTCCAACATCATTCACAAATATAACAAATAAATGGATACCTGAGATAAGACATCATTGTCCTGATACACCCGTATTACTTTGTGGTATGAATGAATAATCAAGAAATGTAGTGAGTTTATTCATATATTTTATATTTAGGAACAAAAATCGATTTAAGAGAAGATAAAGAGGGTAAGATTTAAAATAACGATATAATATGTTACTTTGAATATTTTTAAAAGACACAATGAGTTCGCAGAATTAAGTTCTTAAATTGTTTTAATTATTCTAGATTTACAAAAACAAAATTTAACAGCGATTAAACGAGAACAAGGACAACGTTTAGGAAAAAAGATACGTGCCTTCAAGTATGTGGAATGTTCAGCTCTTACTCAGAAAGGATTAAAACAGGTAATTCAATTTATGTCAATAATAAACATGTGTACATTGCTATTATCATTCTATTATCATTTTACAGGTGTTTGATGATGCTGTGCGAGCTGTTTTATCACCAAAAAATGCTAAAACAAGAAAATCAAATTGTGTATTTCTTTGAAAATGGATTTAGTTGAACAGCAAGAAAAGTAAATGACATTTATGCAATGTAAATTTAGTTATTTTTTTTTTGTGTGTTATTTTTAATTATGATTATCTTTTGTTGTTTTACACAACAAAATGATATGAAAACAATGTTTGGAACATGAGATAATCAAATTGGATTTTGAATTTTGTTTTGTTTTTCTTTTTCTCATTCTCAACAATTTAGTCATTTATTGATCTTTTTTGTTACTTTTCTCGAAATTAATCAACGAAACTAAGCACTCACTATGCTGTAAATAAAAAGTGTTTTTTCTTTTTCTTTTTGGTTTTTGAACAATTTTTTTTTCAAAAATAACTTTTGTACCGTTTGTTTTGTTATTCTTGTCATTATATCTAGAGTATTTCATAAAATGTGTCGTTTTCTGTATCTATTATTGTGTATTTTCTCTACTCTTCCAACTAGTAGTTTTTTTTGTATTATTTGTATCAAAATGGATAGAAATTTATTTACACTCTGCTACCTTTTTGTTGTTCCACTGATAACGAATAATACGTTTATTCATTAGTGAAACGTGTATGTATCTTGCTAGATTAAAAAATCTGTTTTTTATCTTCATTGTTGACTTTGGACTACTTGATTATGATGTGAATCATTAATAAAACTATTGTATCTTGGGGAACTTTAATAAAAAGAAGAAAAACTCTTACTGGTAAGCTCTTTCTATTATCAGTCACTAACATGTTCAAATTTGTAAATTATATCGAATTTTGTTTTGTGTGTTTGTCTATCCTGTAATTCTTCCATTTATTTTCCCTCTTTTTTTTGTTTTCTCTACTGTGTCGAGATTTTTTTATAATTATTTATGAACATGTTCTTACAGAAATCAAATTTCTGTTTTGTCTTGTAGTTATGTATGTTGAAATAATACATAATGGTACAAAAAACCATTTTTACACTAACAGAAGAATTTGACAATGCATCTTTATTTTTGAGTATTGAAATGGCACGACTCTGCTTTCTGCTATTTTACACTGAAATGAACTAGTCTCAGAACTATTATTTTCTGTATTGTTGTGTTGATATGTGATATGCAATTAATCAGTCTATTGTGTTTATCGCAATTTTAAACAAAACTCCATGACAAAAGTACACGTGCTGTTATTTTCTTTTTTTTTTCTAAAAATTTGATGTTTCAATGTTTCATTATCTTTTTATTTAACTTTCAATTGTTTCTTTTTTCAGCTTATTTTTATTGTGGCATTCTAACATATCAATCATGCCAGTTAAAGAAATATTCTATTCAGATACATATAAAGATGATAATTATGAGTATAGGTACATAATATGTTCATTTTTGTTTGTCAATCAGTGACGAAGTGTAGTTCATTTGTAATATTTTCTTTTTAGACATGTCATTCTACCTCCTGAACAAACGCAACTTCTGTCACGAACACATTTACTAACAGAAACAGAATGGAGAAATTTGGGTATGATTTTAAGAATAAAAATCTCATTTTATCAAACAGTTATATTGAAAAATACCTTTTTATTTTGTTTATTTTTTAGGTGTACAGATGTCACAAGGCTGGGTGAGTAAGTTGTTTATTGCATAATAATTATTTTGATCTGATATTAATAAAAAGTCTCTATTATCAACGTTTTTTGTTCAATTCCTTTTCCCTCATAAAGTTTAACTATTCTAAAAGTTGCTTTATTTTTGAATAATCTAGATCCACTATATGTTTCATAATCCAGAACCGCACATATTGTTATTTCGTCGTCTATTAAAACCAACCACATAAAATTAGTTTGACAATGTTATATTGACAATTGGATATTTTTGTTGAATTCGTGATATATAAATATTATGTGAATTTGTGTATTTCTAAATCAAGTCAGATATTACACTGTGTTTTCTGTTCTTTTAATTAATTTTGGGTTTGAATAAAATTTATCGTTTTGATAAAGTTCTATGCTGATACTAATCTTTTTATTTAACAGTGGAAAATCGAATTTATTTCTATATGACACTGGTTAATAATTAATATTAATCCACGTATTTGAAATCTTAGCATGATTCACCGATAATCTTCTATACCATATCATTCTTTGTCTCGTACTGTATATATGATCGGACGTCATAACCGTAGTATTTTTCGTTTCTTTTTTTTTAAAACTTTGATTGTAAGGATTAATGAAGAAGAGCAGAAAGCATTGATTTTGAGTAATATATTACTTGCAATTCAAAATCTAAGCAAAATATGAAATACAAAAAAGTATGGACAGTAAACTAACGGAGATATCAAAGAGAAAAATAACTTATTATTTTATGTTTGAATACCTTTTTCACTTCACAGAACAGAAAAAAATGTTGTCAGACAAATATCTTGAAATGAAAGCACCGAACCGAGTTTCATTTTTATTTTGTCATAAAGAGAACGTGTTTCAAATCTTCAAATTTATCATTAGGGGTACCTTTCGCCTAATTTTAATCTTATGACAAGTTCAAAAATACTCTCTCTATATATACTCTGTGGTTTACATCAAAGCAGTAAATGTCTGACCATTTTCTGTAAAAAACGACATGGGATAATGCACAAAAAAATAGAATGAAAAACTACCGGTAGATCTGATTCAAAAAAGTTGATTGATCTAGGTGACTTTAGTTACCAATTGTTCGTCTTAACAATATTAATGTAGGGTATCATTGAAGGCACACGTTGGTATATTTAGTAAAGTTTTTGAACTTAAGAGAGCTGAAGAAGAACAAAGAACAAAAAAATAAGATGATACTCAGTTGTTCAAAGCACCATCTTAAACAGCACATATAGCTCTCCAGAGGCACATGAACGGAGGTCCGCGTTCACCATAAAAAAAGTCGATTTTGCGATAATGCCTAAACTTGCTTCTTGAAAACGTTCAGTGAGCAAAAGAGAGGGAAAAAAAGAAAAATCAAAATTCTAGTGAGAATCAAGTTTTACCACGAACAGAGATTTTAGAGTATTTTGGCCTAACATTCAAAAATTCAACGATCACTCAAAATCGGCAGGAAATAGCCAAATTTCTACCAGCGCTACTAGTGGTCACTTAATGGCCATATGGACATTACTTGTTTTCTTATCTTAAAGGTCCTTGGTTATGCACTGAGAAGAACCAACATGTGATCCTTGTAACCCAAGAAAGGAACGGTTGATCATTCTGACTATGTGGTGAGGCAATAAATATTAAGAAGTCTATGATATAAAATATGCCACTTTCTCAACATTGTCTACGTACTAGAAGGTCTTTTAACGCACGTGTTACAGCGTAAACTTGTTCAGATCGACTCATATTGAAATAAATAATTATCGGTATTATACAAGTAAGGTTTTTTCAAATTAATCTGTCTTCGATCTACTTTGTTGCTGAAATTTCTGAAAATCTACCATAATTTTTTTTGTATCAAATCGCGCAGGTACCGTCAATTACTAGGCATGCAACAATCCCAAGCCAGGGCTTGCTGATCTGCACTGAATGGTTCGCAACCGAACTTGTTCGGTGCCGATCAGCGAGCCTCAGCTTGGGCTTGTTACATGCCTGGTCTGAACTAAAGACAAATGGGATGAAATTCAAGTTTTTGAAGAAACTAACCAGTGAGAAAATAGACTAACTAGTGTACATTGTCAGCGAATGTATGTTCTACCGGATCACTACTGAACATGTTCGGATAGCGAGCGGTTCGCTACCAAAGGTTTAAAAGAAACAGTTTGTCAAAGCTAAGAACATAAGATCGAAAAAACACATGAAAGAAATCTCTGTAAAACACAAAAAATGGTGAAGATTACACCAAACGAAGGGGCAGCCATGATTATGCCGTAGTCGTAGATTGTCATGTAAGGAAAAGTTTGAATTAGAGCAGCAACTTTATGTTTGCTTTATTCCAGGGAGTCCAAAGTACCTTTAGTTTCCACTATATCTGATTTACTCTCTAAAAGCATACTTTTCTAATGTGGTCTCTGTAGCACATTGATTTACTTTGTTTTCATGCAAAAATGCTATTCCTCACTGTACAAATAAAGTAGACAGAAAGTTGTAGCCCTAATTCGAATGTATCTTTATAAGGTTTATGATACTTTGTCCTAATAACGCTCGCCGATATCTTGGATGAGAAAAATATTAACTATCGTATTTACAATCTTCGTCCGAACACGTAACAAACCGTTCGGTGACAAACTATCGGATTGTTGCATGCCTATCAATTATCAGTCGTAAAGGAATCTTATAAAGACTGATTTCCTCATCATCTAATTGCCATTGGGATGAATCTCTTTAGCGTTATCTGTTCTTTCTCTCTTCTATTATGCTTCTTTCGAAGAAAACAATTGTCTTCGCTATATTTAAACCATACTTTATTGCCGATTTTTCTATCGTAGTCTTGATTCAAAATTTTAATTTTTTCCTCCCTTTCAAGCACATGAACTTAACCATAATTATTTTAATGTAAAACACGATTACGAATTCCAGTTAATAGCTAATCGTACCCTCGCAGTTCCTAATGGAGTATGTCAATCACATAATCACTAAACTCGAATAAATCGTTCCAAACTGCTTACGTTTATGTTGTAGAAAATTTATTTTTGGCGACGAAAATTTATTTGTTTTCTTTGCCGTCATATCTCTCAAACAATAAACTTCGCTCTTTCTTTGTGATATCGTAACATACTGTAGAGTCGAACGGTCCTGACCTTTTATATCTCAGTGTCCACGTTAGTGAGTCCCATTATATACACAAAATTCATCATTACACCACCTATGGTTTTTTTATGAGTACATCTTTTGCTTTTTGATAGATGGACTTCAAATGGTTTATTTGCTCTATAAAACCAACAGAGATCATGTTTTTAATAATTTCTTTCGAGTCACGTATAACTTGAAAAACATCCAATAGCATGAGAAGTTTGAGTTGCAGTACTTTCTTCTACGCAATTAATTCACATAGCTACTAAATGTTTGTTTCTTACTAGTGTGTCATCCATACTGATGCGCAAAGTTAGCTCAATCACTTTTAATACATTTTTTAATGAATTATGCTTTTCTAATACAGATTCAGCTGTGTACAGATAATATTTGCAAATGATAAAAGATCTGTTTGTTCTTCTAACAGCTCAATCCATGTATTCTTCATCATTACACAAATTGGCTCATAGTAAGCGACTATAAAGAACTATTAAATTTGACGTAATATAAGAGCTAAAGTTTCTTGTAACACTGAAAAATAAGTAAAACATTTTTAATAAGGAAGATTGTACTTGATAATCAGGATCATAGAACCGAACACAATTTTCCTTTCTACTTTTTTATGTTAAATGAATCAACGATGAAAAAGAAAAAATGCTTTTGTTACCTGTCAGATGTCGGCTTAATAACAAAATAGTGGCATACAGAAAAAGAAAAAGAAATTATTGTCTAAAAAATAAATTTTCTTTCATAGCGAAAACTAAAATAGTTGAGTAAGTGTCACGACTGTAAAAAAAAACAGATTTAACAAGTCAAGTATGAGGAAATGACTTTATACGAGAAATACAAATTCATCTAGTAATTAAAATAGAAGTCCTTATTAAGTAAGTCTTTAAAAATGATTAAATTCAGAAAACTTCATCAACACTGAACAAATCACACTTGCTTCTCATGAAGTTAACGGGAAAAGCTTTATGAAACTCAAATTGATCTCTCTTCTGCTGTATTTTATCTTTTCAGTTTTTTTCAAGTTTTAACAAATAATACTTGACTTTGTTCTTATTATGCTTAGAATGGCTACCACATCAGGAACAGTGACGTCAATAGACAAACCCGATTTTATACCACTAGCATCAATCATAGCCTTTGTTGTTATAGGTGTTGTATTTCTTGCCGGGATTGTCGCTCGATTTCTTGCCTTCAATCAATCTATTCAAGAAAATCTCGATCTTATGATCTACAAAGCGGCACCACGACCACCTCCGATTGGCAAAGCAAACAGAATGAATAACGCTAATCTATCAGAAAGCATCAGTAGTAACGGTATCCAGAAAAGTCCACCTTTGCCGGCAGCGCGCGGTCCAAAGAATCTTTAAACTTTTTTCGGACATAATTTGGATGTTTATAAATAAAAAAATTTGCATCACTTTCATATTTTCTTTTGCTTACTATATAGTCTATTATGCTAGTATCCTCCAAGACGTTTGCATTGTGAAAGACAATTTTCAATAAAATTTTAACTCACAAAGACTTTTATTACATTGATTTATTAAATTTGAAGACTATTTTAATTTGTCTGAGAGTAATAACTGCATTAGACAGAATGACAAATATGATCTCGAAAAAATGGCATAATTGAGGCCATATATGAAAATTTCAATAAAAGCAGTACAAAAGATCCCGTTCTTTTAGAAATATATTTTCGACATTATTAATCTTGGTGTAAACTGATCTTTTTATTCATCACGTACAATTGATCGATATTTATCGATACACAATATCGATATCGTTCATCATTTAAATAAAAATCTTGATCACTCTGTTTTACCTATAGGAACAGAGGTCCGGTTTTGATCATTAACAAAATCTTGAATTCTACTCACATTTAAATATTCTACTTTTTAGTTTCACGACACAAGTGAGAAGCACTGTGTGTGGATATTTGAGTGTTTTCTAATCCTAGTTTGAAGAATTGCTTTTAATTAGTTACTGTAAATGGAGTGACACATTAGAGGATCCCCCCTATGATAGAGGACCTCTCTACATTAGAAGACCCTTCTTGAACTCCTAACGCAAAAACCACACTAGAAGACCCCTCCCCACCCTCCTTTTATTTTATCGATTTTTCGGTCTGAAAATGTGATGATTCTTGTGTTTAATAACATACTATTTTTTCCTTCACCTTTTACTCGGCTGTATGAATGAACTCACAGCTGACAGACGAAAAAAAAAGACAGTGTGCACACGTGCGTTCCTTTAATGTTGTGAGATGAGATGATAAGATGTGATGTGAGTGGATATGATATGATCAAAGAAGAATTTCTCTTATCTCTCTTCACTACACTCGGTTTACTCTCAGTTCGTCCCAAATTGACTTCTCAATTTGTCCCATGAAGCTTTTTTTCTCAGTTCGTCTTAGCTAATTCGTTCCATCAACACTTCTCTCTCAATTCGTCCCATATTAGTTTACACTTAATTAGCTTTAATATAATTGTTCGTACCTCTTGCGTACGGTGATAAATATGTATACACAATAAATAACAGCAATATCAACGAGGACTTTGGCGGTATCTGGTTTGCATGTGTGTGCTGATTTATTCCGTAAAATTCTCACATCGTCTGTACATAATGATATTGTACTTGAACATGTTCGATCCCGACACCTTCATTGATTATTTGTTTTTTTTGGTGTATTGATACCCATTCCCTAGTGAATGTACTCAAGTGTGAATACTCAAAAAGTACTCTGCTAGAAAAACCGGACGAGTACTGATACGTACTCATACATTTTTTTACTCATTGAGTACTCACCTGAGTACTCACGAGTGAGTAACAAGTACTCTGAATACGACTTTGAGTACTCATGCTTGGGTATTGTTGAGTATACTCTAAAAAAAAAAGGTATTTCAAAAAACCCTAAAAAGTATTCTCCATTTGAGAAAAACCAAAAAGAAGGTATAACCACCTGTGAAAAACGTTTAAAGGGTTTAACCATTTGAAACATATCATAAC